TGTAAGAGGCTCTGATACCACTATTAGGGTTTAATCAAAGAAATAGGTAGCAAAAAACAAAGATTTACTAATTAAAACCCTATAAGCCCCAAAATCCATATATGAGAGTTATGATATTTACATGCTTTGAATAAACCAAAACCCATACAAGTTTCATATTCTTAGCCATCTTTGGAGGTTCCACCTCTTTTCAATTCGAAGAAAACTCTCACACTCAAGGATAGGAGTGAACAAACGATATCCACATAAACACAACAATCAACACAAATAAATATACTAGTTTAATTTATGATGTTTAAAGAAGATAGGTGAATGAGAAGGTTGAGAGATAAAAAATTCTCTCAATGAACTTCTCTTGGGTGGCCAAATGAATGAATTATTGGATTTTAGGGAAAAGTGCCAATTTATAGGCACACCCTAAAATCCCTTGAATAGTATATTACAACTATACCCTTCCACTAATTATTTAATTAGTATCCATGATTTCCGAACAAAATCATAATCCGGGTATCGAGCCATTATGATTTTAATCCTCTAATAATGATCTTTCAATATTTAAAACATATATACACCATATATATATATATATATATATATATTAAATATTGACGGTTTATTTATTTACAATATATATATGACGATATACATATTTAAATAAATAACCAATCCACCCCTTTGTCAACAAATGAAAAAAATGCCCCTCACTTTTTATCTTCTTTAAATTGCCTTTTATGTGTGTGACTCGAAGACTCCTCATCATGTCAGTAGTGATTATATTGCAATTAACGCCCTATTATACATAGACCAAGATTGGCCTCTAGTAAGGCATCATAGCCACTTGACAGATTTGGATTCAACGTATTCTCTACCTGTCAATAGTATGGTTACCGTGCAATCAAATCCTTCCATCATCTATTATCTCATCAAGCTTTGAAGCATAGAAGTAATGTCAACTTCAAGAATAAACCACAGATTCCAAGGTCGTTGTACACAAGAGTGATGAATCCTTTGTCGATCCACCATAGTCATGATGTACTTCTTGATGGAGCCAATCACTACCATACTGATAACCCTATTAGGATTACATTTGGCTAGTGTCAAACTACACCAGTAGGTACACATGGTGCTCTAGTGATCTTAAGTCTGAAGACCACATATACCACCATCTGTTAGAGGATGTATTCCATGGATATTAGTGCTACCATCTATATGGAATCCTTTGATGAGCTAGTCCAGTGAACTCGTGAATAACAAGCACCCATACGTCGCACCAAGTTGTTACCAAACAGCCTTGACATATGAAATCTGTCACTACCTTCTGATAGGGTTGTTCAACACTATGATAGCCTTATCATATTATCTATGCCCTAGGTTAGGATAATATTGGGGCTACGGATGTTTCTAGAATGGCCACCATAAGTGATCATAGGAATCTCACAATCAAGACTTATCACTGCTTGATTCCCTCATCACGGTTCAACCACTTTAAGGGCATATGTAAATACATACTTATGAAATATGCTTTACATAATATAAACAATGCCTTCCATAGATTGAATAATCATGATCCATGGAGTCAACATATAATATTATGATTGGCTCAGGGGCACCTACTCTAACAATCCTGTCTAGGGTTATCAGTATGGTAGTGATTGGATACATTGAGAAGTACACTATGACTATGGTGGATTGATAAAGGATTCATCACTCCTGGGTACAGGAGAAATTAACTCGGTGAGATATTCGGTAAGAGGCAAAGACCTTAAATCTATGGCCATAATTGAATCGAGTTGTTGCTCATTTGGTTGATTGGTCCAATAACCAAATCTAAATATGTTAAGGTGGTTCATACTTCAAGTTGACATTATTTCTATGCTTCAAACCTTGACGAGATAATAGATGATGAAAGGATTGGATTGCATGGTAACCATACTATTGACATGGCAGCGAATTTGATGAATCTAAATCTATCGTGTGGCCATGATGCCTAATTAGAGGCCAATCTTGGTATGTGTGTAATGAGACGATTAATAGGGTGTTTGTAACACCTACTGGAAACTGTACAATGCATGCATAATTGTTAGTGTATATTAGTGTATGCCCTAGAAACCATTCGTGTTGTCGGTTTCAGAGCATTTTGTCTTGTATCTATATATATCATAAATNTATCCATGATTTCCGAACAAAATCATAATCCGGGTATCGAGCCATTATGATTTTAATCCTCTAATAATGATCTTTCAATATTTAAAACATATATACACCATATATATATATATATATATATATATTAAATATTGACGGTTTATTTATTTACAATATATATATGACGATATACATATTTAAATAAATAACCAATCCACCCCTTTGTCAACAAATGAAAAAAATGCCCCTCACTTTTTATCTTCTTTAAATTGCCTTTTATGTGTGTGACTCGAAGACTCATCATCATGTCAGTAGTGATTATATTGCAATTAACGCCCTATTATACATAGACCAAGATTGACCTCTAGTAAGGCATCGTAGCCACTTGACAGATTTGGATTCAACGTATTCTCTACCTGTCAAGAGTATGGTTACCGTGCAATCAAATCCTTTCATCATCTATTATCTCATCAAGCTTTGAAGCATAGGAGTAATGTCAACTTCAAGTATAAACCACAGATTCCAAGGTCGTTGTACACAAGAGTGATGAATCCTTTGTCGATCCACCATAGTCATGATGTACTTCTTGATGGAGCCAATCACTACCATACTGATAACCCTATTAGGATTACATTTGGCTAGTGTCAAACTACACCAGTAGGTACACATGGTGCTCTAGTGATCTCAAGTCTGAAGACCACATATACCACCATCTGTTAGAGGATGTATTCCATGGATATTAGTGCTACCATCTATATGGAATCCTTTGATGAGCTAGTCTGGTGAACTCGTGAATAACAAGCACCCATATGTCGCACCAAGTTGTTACCAAACAGCCTTGACATATGAAATCTGTCACTACCTTCTGATAGTGTTGTTCAACACTATGATAGCCTTATCATATTATCTATGCCCTAGGTTAGGATAATATTGGGGCTACGGATGTTTCTAGAATGGCCACCATAAGTGATCATAGGAATCTCACAATCAAGACTTATCACTGCTTGATTCCCTCGTCACGGTTCAACCACTTTAAGGGCATATGTAAATACATACTTATGAAATATGCTTTACATAATATAAACAATGCCTTCCATAGATTGAATAATCATGATACATGGAGTCAACATATAATATTATGATTGGCTTAGGGGCACCTACTCTAACAATCATGTCTAGGGTTATCAGTATGGTAGTGATTGGATACATTGAGAAGTACACTATGACTATGGTGGATTGATAAAGGATTCATCACTCCTGGGTACAGGAGAAATTAACTCGGTGAGATATTCGGTAAGAGGCAAAGACCTTAAATCTATGGCCATAATGGAATCGAGTTGTTGCTCATTTGGTCGATTGGTTCAATAACCAAATCTAAATATGTCAAGGTGGTTCATACTTCAAGTTGACATTATTTCTATGCTTCAAACCTTGACGAGATAATAGATGATGAAAGGATTGGATTGCATGGTAACCATACTATTGACATGGCAGCGAATTTGATGAATCTGAATCTATCGGGTGGTCATGATGCCTAATTAGAGGCCAATCTTGGTCTGTGTGTAATGAGACGATTAATAGGGTGTTGATCGTAATATTACTCACTGTCAATACGATGAGGAGCCTATGGGTCACATCCTTAAAAGACAATTTAAGGAAGATATCGAATAGGGAAATTTCGTCTTTTACAAACGAATGGCTATTTTAGTAAATCTTGCAGAGCAATTAAATTTGTTGGAAAGGTTGTGGCATGGATCAAATTTCATATTGGATTTACATTTATTTAAATATATATATTGGTGTATGTATATTTTAAACAAATAAAATATCATTATATATGTATGTATGTATGTTTTAAATATTGAATTATTATTATTGGATTTTCTGGGTGAAGCATATCCACATTCTGGTGGTTTTTTCTAAGGGGAAGCAGAATGATCAGTGGAAGGTTGTTGGCAACTTTCTGAATGTTCCCATGCCTTTCATTTCAAAGGTGTCAACCTGATTTGTGCCGGTTTGACTCTTGTTGGTTCTTGTCTGTTGCACCATTTTTAATAGGATGTAGTGGTTGATCCAATGGTAACATCTTGAGTTGGAATTGGAATGGGGTTCAATTGGAGTGTTAAAGCCCTAGCCCTCCTTCTAGCTCCAAAATATTGATGCGAGATTTCGTACCGGCTAGGATGTTGAGAAATGAACACACATCAACCAGAGAAACTCAGTTGACCACGATAGGAGCTGAGTAGGATGGGTGTGTGATCCCGAGGAATGAGCAAAGAGGAACGTGAATGATTGGGACAAGATCGGAGTCAAAGGCGATATTGATAGATAATGACAAATGAAGAGGTGAGCTTTTTAAAGTGGTTCAACCAAGCAAGGAATCCAGCCTACATCTACTTATTCTTTTCTTAAGATGAATGATTACAAGGATTTTGACTAGAACAAATACAAAATGCTCTCTTTCTATTCTCCTTATCTATATACTTTCGCCCCCCTTGTCAAGATTTTGTTTCGATTGTATTTTATTACATTCTATTTCCCCATATTTGAGAATTCAAAATGTGGGAATGAAAGTAATTAGTTATCTTACTCTTTAAGTAATGTCACTCTACAGTAAGGAGCAACCTTTTCTTCCACTCAACCATTAAATACTTAAAATAAAATAATATTAGAGTTTACAAGTCACACTACCTCGCCCCCAGTAACCTTACTTGGACTTGTACCATAATCATTATCCAAGGTTAGGTTAGGTTAGGCTAACTAAAGTTAAGTAACAGCAAGTGAAGTTAGTTAGGCGTGCGTGGCGCGTGCCGTGTGCGGCTTCTTTTACTTCTCTTATACAAACTACAAATACAAGGCAAAGCTACAAGGTAGAGGTGTAGGTGTTGGTGTTGGTGTTGTCAAGTTTGAACGAAGAATATTAATTTTATTTTTATTAGTTTAATACTATTTTTATTCATGTTTTCAAAATTTCCAGAGTTTATTCGTTTTTTCTGTACGTTACGTTGAAGCCTAAGTTATTCAACAACCAACCACCGCCTGCCACAAAATTACCAGCTTTCCGGCGGCATCTCCGACCTCCTGAGCTCAGAGGTTAACTTTTCTTTCTGGGTTTTTTAATATAGGGATTCTAGATTTGAAATTTCAGCTCTCTTCATGTATTAATCGTTTTCTTAACTTTAATTTACAGATGCCAAATTCATCTGAGGACTTGGAGCCACATATTCATAGCTCTGTAAATAATGTTAAGGAAGATAGTGAGTATGTTAGGTTGGTTATATCGAGTGAAGCAGGCCCAACAGCTGAAGCTCAACCACAAACAAGGACTAAATCTTTCATCTGGTGGATCAAAGCCTTTGCTTTCTCCATTTTTCTTGTTGTGATCTCTCTCATCTTCTTAAAATGGGGAGTCCCTTTTCTTTTCGAGAAGGTAGCACTATTGCTTTACTCTTCAATTTTTATTTCATTTTATTTTACTTCATTCAATTTTTAGGCTTATTTCTGAATTTTATAAGGTTTCATTTTTCAAATCTAGCTGCCAATATTACTGAAATATATCAACTTTGATTGATTTGGTTAACTTTACATCCAGAAACAATTCGTTTTGATGGGGTGAGAGTACCCTTCACCTTGTATATTGCAAGTCTTTCAAAATTTTCTAACATACGAAGTATAAAGCTTTCATAATTAAATGTCTCTAGGGTTGCCAATGCATTAGGAACGTGAAACTTAAAATCAACTTTTCCAGGGATTATAGAAATTGGAAAAAAGTAGATGCATGATTGATGATAATATTTATAGTTTCTCGACACGGCCACATCTCGTCACTTTCTTTGCTCTGTAGCTACTTTATATTAGCTTTATTTTGATTCTCGTGTTTTTGTCAAACTCATTGTAGGTTCTCTTCCCAATAATGCAATGGGAAGCAACTGCTTTTGGTCGTCCTGTTCTAGCCATAGTGCTTGTTGCTTCTTTGGCATTTTTCCCTGTGTTCTTGATACCTTCGGGTCCTTCAATGTGGTTGGCTGGTATGATTTTCGGTTATGGTCTTGGGTTTGTTATAATTATGGTTGGAACAACTATTGGAATGGTCCTTCCATATTTAATTGGCCTACTGTTCCGTGACCGCATACATGTAAGATTTGATAATTTTAACTAATAATGAATTAGTAAAATGCAATGTTTAATTATATCAACTTCTGTAGTTCTGCCATGATGTATCTCTGTTTGAATGTGCAGCAATGGTTAAAGAGATGGCCCCAGAAAGCTGCTATGGTTAGACTCGCTGGGGAAGGAAGCTGGTTCCATCAATTCCGAGTGGTTGCTCTCTTTAGGGTTTCTCCTTTTCCATACACAATTTTCAACTATGCAATTGTGGTTACTAGTATGAAATTTTGGCCCTATTTGTGTGGATCAATTGCTGGAATGGTGCCAGAAGCTTTCATTTACATCTATAGGTCTGTTCTCTGGATTACTCATGATTATTTTGCCACTATACGAGAAATGAAACCTACAAGATATAATACTTCCCTTATGTTTTTTAATTGACAATGAAAGTTCTGATGACATGTGTGAGCATTGCATACATCCGCACACTAAAATTATCTTCTGAAATGTGTTAAAGCTGCCTGCTTGACTAGAAATACTACAATTGTATGACTTGTAATATATATACAGATATACAAGTTAGCCTAAAAGTTTTCATTGGATTTGTTTGAGCTATTCTTAGTAGCTGTTGGTACAATGCATCTGTTGAATTGTATTTTTAACCATTCTGCTGTACTTTTATGTAGTGGTCGGTTAATAAGGACATTAGCAGATGTGAAGTATGGGAACTATCACTTGACTACCGTGGAAATTGTGTACAACATTATTTCCTTCATTCTTGCAGTTGTTACCACTATAGCCTTTACTGTTTACGCAAAAAGAGCTTTGAAGGAGCTCGAAAGGGGAGAGGCCATTCTTGAAGCACCATCTGCTTCCAACCATGATGACAATTTCGAGATGAATAAGCTTCCCCTTGAAAGATCCAAGCATTTGGGTTCCTCATCTTCTTCATTATAGTCAAGACACTCCACGAAATAATTAGTATCTGTAAAAAGTTAGGTATCTGAGGGGGTGTTCAAACTCCTTAGTCTTTGTAACCTATTTTTCTTAGTTTTCCTTTTTAATGGTTTTATGTTTGATCTGTAACCGCAGAAATAGAATACTAGAAGGAATCCTTGACAATACCTTGTATGAGATGTGAGAGATTTATGAACAGATTGGCCTATGTATATTATTTGTTGATTAATTGTACTAGCGACTAGATTAACTTAAAAACAATCTAGTAGTTAACAGAATATATATATATATTTGGTTTAGGGATCAGTTTAATGATCTCATTCAATTTTTATATAATTCCTTGTGCATCAATCTAATTGTCATCGAAATCAAACCTTGAAGCCGTGAATATTAAAAGCAAGTTTTTTTTTACATGAATATAGAAGAAATATACGAGGCAAATAGGATAAAAATAGATGAAAGTTAATAATTCCTACTTGAAACTTAAGGTCCAACTTAAATTTTTTTAAGAAACTGGGGAGGACTCAGTTATTGGTGTTTTTGCTCTTTCAATAACAACCATTTCTTCAATTTCATATGATTCTTGGGTCATCTTATGCGTCTGTGCCTGTGTCTGCGTTTGTTTCCCATTAGCATCTGAACTTCCCCTCTTGCTTGCTTCAACTTTAATCTTTACAGATGAAGCCCAGTCTCCTAAAGATGATTGCATCTCCTCACTAAACCTGAATTTGCTTCCCATCTTCATTCACCAGACAAAGATACCAAAAGACAGACAATGAGAATCTTAAACTTTGGACAAAGAACTTCAGAGCTTCTCTATATCACTGTACTTACTAGCGTGCATGAGCCGATTGACAAAAAAAAGGATCTACTAACCTGAGCAACAAGAGCATACAAAGGCAGGGTGCTGTAACTGCACAGAACTTGAACAATCACACTGCATAACATGAGCAAGAAATGTAGTAGTGATCAGCAAATCAGCAGGTGTTTTAGTTCTCGGAAATTGGTTAAGTTGCAGAATGAAGCAAAAAGTGATCTGCTATTGCCAGTTGAGGATTACCCTATAATAAGTCTTGGGATGATGTAACCCAGTTTTTCCATGATGCATGATTCGAATCCGTATAGGCACTGCAGTGAAATAAATTAGAGAACCTGAGTGCATTTCTGAGTTGATATTTATATAAAACAGAGAAGTGAACTAGCTATATACCAATATCCAGAAGAAGAATGCAATCTCAAATGAATTCTGAAATAAAATGAAGTGTATCAAGTCAAGAACAATGCCAGGACGACCGAACCAAAAGTGGTCATCGGATGGTTTCACTGAGTTAGGTTTCACTGGTCCTAACTCTTGATCCTCCGTTTTTCTCTTTACCTCCTGAGCCAAACGGGTGATTATGTGTTCTAACTTCGCGCCCACAAGAAGTAGAAGCTGTCAGTCCACCAACTCAACAACGTCAGGCTTATGTTATTCCTCAACAAATGGAATGGACCATGGAAAATATCACTTGTGATGGAGCTAATCCACTTACCACTATTGGCAGAAATGATAACCAAAAGAATGTATGCCATCCTGCATTTGCAATTTATGCATAGGACTTTTTAAGAATTACTATAAACATGAAACAAGAAGTCTGTATGAGAATTAGATACTAGGAACATTACCTGCCACATTCAGCAGCAAAAAGACAACAACAAATAGCCACAGGTGCCATCTATCATTTATACGAGTATGCAATGTTAATCATAAAAACAATTTGAATCTTCAAAGGCAGTTAAATAACCAAAATTTATTATGTTTCTATAATAAATACCTTATGCCAACAACTTTTCTGAGATCCCTTTCAAGTGTCCGTGTCATGTACCCATGAAAATCAAAGTCAGGTTTTCTTGGCAAATGAGTCTAGGTGAAAAAAAGAAAAGAAAAGTTACAGCAATATACAATTATGTAGCATAACTTGGGAAACTGTTATAACATTTAGTCACTACTGATGACTGGTGAGGAAGTTAACCATTATAAATCCTTGTCGAAGTGCTACATAGTCTGACTTAGTAACAGAGCCATAAAACTGTTTGAGGAATGATATCTGCAAAATAGAGAACCAGGTGCCTTCATGTTAAAGATAGCTCATCGTATCAGGAAAATAAAATGACTATTCATGGAAGCTTTATTAATTATGTAACAATTATGGTTTATAAGTTATTCCTTGATCCAGCTGAAGAAGACATGCATGCAAGGATACAAGAATTTTCTCATTGATAGCCTGAAACTCACCATCCAACTCACAACAGCTGCGTTTCTCCAATATCCAATTGCACGTGCATCAAAAAATGTAATGTGATGGCGTTTAAGAGTGTCCTTGGGAGTACCAGCCTCCGCTGACCGCTTAACTGAAGCCTCCCAATGCTTCCATTGTCTTATCTACACAAGGAAAAACTATACAAATCATAGGTTGAGATTCAGAATTGGTTGCAAATGGTTCCCTTATCCATTTGAAGCAAGCAATAATATTTTGAAAATATTTTAGTTACTGAGAGCAAAGCCAGAAATTCAAGGCATGGCAGTTTCTTCAGAAACATTATCTAATTATATTATAGCATATTCTAGGAATGCCAACCATTACCTTCAATCCTCCAAGAACCATGGTAGTCACACAAAAGATAACGTGAACAACTGCTAATACAAAGATGAAAATGTGCAACTGGTGTAATGCTTCCATTGATAAAAATGGAATCTTCCCCTGCATACAGATAAAAAGAAGAAGCAGAGATGCTATTAGCTTGGACTGCATCTTGGTCAATGGCAGACAGATACAACTTTGCATCTATAAGCATCAATTTCCTTTCTTCTATTAGCCATTTTTATCCATGCATGTTCTCAAAATTGCAAATAGTTTATCCATTCCTTTTATACATTAGAAGCTTTCTGTAAGCCAAATCGCTCTAGGGTGCGAAATGGCTATGACATTGTATTAAGTGCCACTTGCCATGGATGGATGAGTTTTAAAGTCATTTCATGCTGCAGTCATTCACTGAAAGTAATGGTCCACATAATCATGTACAACTACTTCCAAGGTAAAGAAAAATCATTTTATGTACAAAAGTTTCTCGGACACAAAGCATACTAGTGTACCTTATTTAAACAATGATCTGAACCAGATTTTGTAGTCAGTAACTGTCGCCGAGCACTTACAGCTCCAAGAGAATATTTTTTGTGTGAGACTGTATGCCTTTTGCAGGGAAGCATGAAGGATCCAAGATAAGTTGGCATGCATATATGGCTTATTGCATCTTGAAAAACGGTCAAAAGAAGGGAAATGAACCCTAAAAGCATCAATTCTGTACAAGCATTCCAAATACATTATATTAGATCTAAAAGCATCGATTGAGTAACAAAATCATGAGGCACAACAGAATATTGATGGATTGTCATGCACTTGGTTTGACACATCTTGCAAGAATCAAATCAACAAACTTGATATACAATATCTATGGATTCCCCAAATAAAGTATGTATGCAATCTATGGATTCCCCAAATAAAGTATGTATGCAATCTATGTATCTGCGAATGTACAGAAAAAAACTGCATGTATAGGAAGGCAAAAAGAAGGAAAAATAATAAATAAAAGATGGAGATGCAGGCAAACCCTCTTGTAATTTTTGTAAGGCCTCAAAGAGAGCGTTCTGCTTGTTCCGCTTCAACCACTGGATTCAGACAACAAAGCAAAGAGCGAAAATTCAATCAGTGAACTTCCGTCGCAAAAGAAATAAAGAATGTTCCATATGGGAATGACTGGCAGCATGTAAGACACGCTTGTTGATCGAAATTCAATTAGCTCATTCTCTTGGAAAAACTTTCCACTTGTTTAATGGTATAAGAGTTTGTCACATAAGATTTGGTATTCAGCGGATGCAAGAAAACATCCAGATTAGAGGGAAATTTGGCCCTCTGCTTGGAATGGGGCACAAACAAATTATAATTGATGGAATGAGTTCTTTTGAAATTTATTCGAGCATTCTCTACACAATTTTGTCTTAAGGTTAAGAATATTTACAAACAACATAATTCAGAAAATTTAAGAAAGTTAAATTTTAGCTTTGAAGTTTGGCCATGAAAAAAGCAGTTTGAATCAACATGAATGCTGACTTAGCCAACAGCTCCTCAAATATATGCCAAACCAAGGTGGAACGGAGACAATTAAGCAAAAAGAATCCACCAAATGCAAGAAGTAAAAACAAAAAGATACAACAATAGATTGTATGGTACCTTTCCAAGTTTATGAAGACCTCGCTCGGCACAAAGAGAGATGAGAATGATGACAAAACAGACAACAGCCACCACCCATGTTGGTGTATGCTCCAGAGAATTGGACTCCTCTGCCATAACTTGAAAGAAGAGAAGTGCTACAGTTCAGTATTCCGGTAAAAACATGGCAAATACGTTTCAAACAATTGTGAGATATATATCCCATCAGAAAGTGAATACATAGAAGGAATGTGTGTGGGGTGGCAAAGAATAAACATGTTTAAAAGATGAAGGAAAAGAATATAAATGGCTGAAAGTGAGAGAAAAAACGAAGCAGCTAGCGTACACAAGAATGTTTTAACTATATACAAAGGTAAAAGCATAAAGGGGAGGCCGAGTGGAAGAAGTAACAATCCCCCAAACAGTGTCAAATCTTTAAGCCGGAGATTCTGTTGCTATGACTATGACTAGGTAAATTCATTTTAACATTCTTGTTTCTTTTCAAAAATTCTGAAAATAATAATCAATTCCAGTTCTCCAGCTTTGGTTTGCCTGACAACAGACAACTCCTACAACTAGAAATGAACAGACTTGACTGATTTGTGGCTTAAAGGAGTGCTTGGAAGTGTTTTTAACACCGGCAAAACGCTCTCAAATAGCTTTTGAGAAGTAGAAGGCACTTCCTACAGATAAAAACTATCAAACCACCCAACTACGGCTTTTTGAGTTGCAGCACCTAACCAACTAAAACCAAATGTTGTTAAGCAAGCTATGCCGGGAAGAAGAAAAACACATACAATCTGGCAATCTGCATACAAATTGGTGTAAAACACAATCTTTAAAGTGTATAGCTTCATTCTTACAGTTGAAAGCAAAACAAAAAGTGACGCATAAAATGAAAGGATAAACCAATGATGAAAGAAACAGAAAGGCACTGCAAAAAGAAAAATAAGTGAGATAATAAAGAAAGATAATTCGTCCAGCAAGAAGGTAACTGTTAAGACATTTAGAGGACTTTATTGTTAAACAATTTCAAACTGTTCAACTTCTCGTGTTTTCAAAGAATACAAGATTTTTATCATACATATACACTATCTATATCACAAATTACAAACGAAGTAACATGTCCTGATAACACAAATTCTTAGTGCTATTTAGGGTCCCCAACTTGGCCCTAGTTCTTCACAAACTTCTGTGTATAGCTTTCTCCACTATGCTCATATCATCCCTCATCTTTGATCAGCTTAACCTTCAATGATTCATATTCCAAGTACTACCACAGCAAAAATCATCTGACCGTAAGTCACACAACATACTTAATGTAAAAAGACATAGTCTTGACTGTTTCTTATGGTTTCCAAGGTGCTGGCGGTGGTGGTGGAGTCGGGAACATTGGAGGAACAGCGGAGAAAATGGTGTTCTTATCAATGCCAGTACTCTTTTCGCCTGACAATGCCACAAGAGCAGCGACCAAACCTGCATTTCCTGCAAGAGTTGGCTCTGTATAATTGTAATTAGTTCTCACATCATGGAAACCGTCATGCTTGTCAGGACCAGCAACCATGGCTCCAACAAGTGTATTTGGGTTTGGCTTTTTACTGTCCCTCCATTTCCATCCTCCTTTACAGTTATATCTGATCTTATTCTTTGGTATAGAAGCACCTCTATGGTGGACATGTTTTGGATAATGATTACCAAAACCCACTATGTAGCTCATTTTCCGAGGATTTTTGCCAAGGATGTAATCAATCTGAAAAAAGCAGGAGCAAAAGAAACACGGTTATTAGCTACCATATGTCAACAATATTTATAAATGTGCGAGCAGAATCAAATTCCCTGACCATTAAAATTAAGGAAAACGGACCTGGGTCTTAGCAAATTCACGCAAGACATCAGTTGAAAAGAAATTGGGTCCACAATACCATCCAGGCGTATCTGCAGCGTCAAGATAATCACTGAATAAGGTTGCCAAGAAGGCTGCATTGGCAATGTATTGGAGAGGCTGAGGCCTTCCATGATTTAATTGAATCAAGCCTCCTGTGAAAGTTCCCAAGAAGTTAAAAGTCAGATCCCAAAAAACATGTGGGTAAACATATAAAAAAAAGGTCAATCAAAAATGTAAATGTACTTCACCTTTGGTTCTATTAAAGCTTGTGAAAACCGGAAGGAATGAGCACATGGTTATGCTTGTTTGATTGTGGAATGTCCTCAACATTTCTTCATATGGATACCCAGGGCTCAAGAACAATCTCAATCGGCTTAAAAGTAGCTGGAAAAACAAATAGGATATCAGCAACTAACAGCCAAGCTCCAAGGGTTCTAAAGAAAGCTTTAACATAAGCAATCAAAAGGTGTCAATATACATTAGTAAAAACATGTTTGTATTTCCACAAAGCGATAAATCAACAAAATCCAAAAATGTAGCATGTAGTCTTCACTTATACTAAAGACTTGCTCATCAACTTAAATTTTGATTCTATGAAAGGAAAGGACAACAAAATTAAATAACTGAAGAATAAATGATATCCATTGACCCCCAAAAGATGCTCAAAACAAGTTCAATTATAATATGGTGATCTGAATCTGGATGGATAACCCTAAACTGGATCAAATTATAAGCTTGGCAGCATAAATGTCACAGTGTGCACAAAACGAGAGTGAAAAAGCTGATTGCATAGCTAATTACACAAGTTAAAAGGATAACACGAAGATAGATGAAACTTACCGCAGCACCGGCAAGCTTGTTATCCCAGCTAAGTACGCTATTATCTAGAATTCCCCAGAAAGCTCCAGCATGTCTAGCAATACCAGTAGTAGTAGCGAGCTGAAGATAGGAAGAATTCCCAGTCGCATAGTACAACCAAGCTCCACCCCAAATAAACTCATCCCAGTAACTAGTTGAATTATAGAAAATCGAAGCCTCATTACCAGCACTGTATCTGCCTCGCTGCTCCCTGGAGAACCTAAAGAGCGTTTTGGCACCATGGACAAGTTTCTGCGAATAGGCCTTGTTGTCCTTAAAAACAATAGATGCAGAAGCCAAAGCAGCAGCCATTTCAGCGGCAAGATCCGAACAACTACTACATTCTGATACAGGTCGATCATAATCAATGTCCTCAGGACGCATCCAACAATAATGATCGTTTTCACTTGTACTCCCACCACTTGTATCGCCCTTCCCAACCTTTCAAAAACCACGAATCAGAAAAATAAAAATGTGATCTTGTCTACTAAGGAAATAAATTCTCATTTTTTATTTCTTAAATAGCTAAATGCAAACAAATTGAATCGATCAACATATAAATCATTTAGAGCAAAATGTGTACCTGTGAAATCATCACAGAAATAGAATCCGCAGTATGATTGAAGGTCTTGAGAAAATAATCAGCACCCCATTTGATAATGTCTTTAACATGGTTGAGTTCACCAGCAGCTTCATATTTAGCACTGTACTCAATCACACTCCAACTCAGCATAGTCATGGCAAAAGATGCTGGGAAATGAAATTTAATAGCATCCCCAGCATCGTAATAGCCTCCCACCAGATCTTTCGTAATACTTGAACTCGACGACGTCGATTTCCCATCATTCAAACATGAATTACCTCTCCACGACACATTATTATGCTTGGGCAACCTCCCAGCTGTAAATCAATTCAAATAAACCCCATTAACAAAAACTCTGATATAGAATGTAAATACAATTTTCAGTTTTCAGAAACAGTTTCCAGATTCAACCTTAGACCCTAGCGTGAAATCAGAAAAAAAAAAAAAAATTGTTCTTTTTCATTTCTCCGGGATATAGTTCATTTTAATCAAGCCCGTTTGGTTAAAAAGAAGTCATCTTGAGCTCAGATATTAGAATTATATCTTAATTTTCGAGGAATATTTTTGGATCAGAAATTATAAGCAAAAGAGAAGCTAGATCAAAGACATACATTTCTGAGCATTGAAGAACATGAGGGCCTTGTGAAGAGCGAGGGTGTAATTATCAGGAGGGGCATGAGAATGATGATGACGTGGCACAGTCTTGACAATAAGAGTGATAAAACCAGCCAATAAGGCGGAGACGAGGAGAGTTCCGACCGTCCAAACGAAGATCTTACGGCTCACAATAATACATCCCAGATCTACATACTTCTTCTTCTTCTGTTCAGTGGGACCCAAAAGCCAACTCTGCTGCGTCTCATCCAACGGTCTCGACAACGCCGCTCGATCGAAGTCCTGCAGATTCCTGCTGCGGTCGTCGTCGGTGGCGGAGTCCGCCGTGTTTATCTCCAGGGGACCGCCCCATGGATCTCTGCCATACATACTCATTTTGCGTGAACTCTGAGCTGAGACAGGTCTACCTGTCAATGAGGGGATGTGAAGAGAGAGAAAGTGAAGAGCAAAGTTTAAGTAGAGAGGAAGAGTGGTGATTGGATTTCGTAATGACGGTGGGAGTGAATAAAAATATATAAAATCGTGTGGGTGTGGATTGTATTTTTCCAATTTTATAATAAGTGGCAGGTCCAATTCATGACACTAACAAGTCCACTAATCGACATAGACTGTCTGTCTGTTCTCCTTACTTTTTCCTCTGTAATTTTTAGTCAAATATGGAAACCCCCAATGTTTGGTAAAATAACACTAACCTCCCACTTAATATCAATTCAGTTGGACTCTTCAACTAATACTAATTTGAATATATCTTTATGATAACTAATAATCTTACTCTTACGGATTCCAAAATTCCAATAGATCCTTTACAAATAAATCTTATAAATATTTTCATATTAAAAATAAATAAAGGAATGAATATAATAAATTTAATTTTTTATTTCACTCTTTTATTTTTTTTCCCACCTCAGTTTGTATTTTTGTTAGATTTTTTTGTAAGTATAATATTATTGCTTAAACATACACTAATTGATATAATAAATAGAAATCTTATAAAGATTTTTATATAAAGTAATGTACTAACTACTAAAAGTGAATATAAAAAGTCAAACCTATTATATTTACTCTATTATTTATTTATTTTTATTTTTTACAATATCATTTAATATAAAAATCTTTATGTATGCGTTTGGTTTAATATTTTTATTCCTATTCTGGATCCTATTCTCCAAATAGCGTTTGGTACAATATTCTAAAAATATTACCCTATTTTTTTAATTACATTTTAACCCCATAAGGTTATTAATTTCACTAAATACCCCTTGAAAAAAAAGGTTTAAAAATTAACAAAAACACCCCCATCAACCCAACTTGTCAGATTCCGGCAACCACCGTCGGTGATAGCCGGAATCTGTACAACGGCCTAACTTCCGACCAGAAATGGCCGGAAGTTCACCGCTGTGGCCTTTTCCGGCCAGATCCACCACGGATCTGGCCGGAAAAGGCCAGATCTGGCCGTCAGCGACGGCCAAAGAAATGGCCGTCGTTGACCAAAAACGACGGCCACATCTTTGGCAGTCGCTGACGGCCAAAGATGGCCCTCGTTTGGCCTTTTCCGGCCGTCAACGGCCATAACAGCCCGTAGATCTGGCCTTTTCCGGCCAGATCCACCATGGATCTGGCCGGAAAAGGCCATAACGACGTGTTACGGCACAGCCGACAAGTCTGTGCCGTAACGAAATTTTCCGGCGGTGGTGGTCGGAATCTGACACTGCAGGTGGTGGGGGTGTTTTTGTCATTTTATATGTTAGGGTTTTAGTTAAATTAGTAAACCTAAGGGCTTTTTTATAAATTTTTAAAATTTACCTCGTAATACTCCCATATCCAATAACCCAATACTATCCCTAAAATTATATCCAAAATGCTAAACCAAACGCACCCTATAAGATTTCTTGTAATATTACTAACAAATTTATTAACCAATGGGGAGATTGTCGTTAGTTCCCGAAACTAATGGGAGATTAGGGCTGTCTCCAAACTAGGTGGTGTCCAACTATTTTGATTAATGAGAAAAGTAGGGTGTTCAACACTGTAGTGCTTGCTTGTCTTCCACTTGATTTAATAAGTTTCCTTCCATGAAAGCTCCTTTCAACCAACGATTGACACCTAATCTAATTCATTTCTTTTAATATATTATCATATCACCCCATCTGTTACAATTTTTCACCATGGCAGCACCCACCTGCCACCGACTCTTTTTAACCACACCTTTGCCGACACTCTAAGATATCAATTATTGCTTTCCACCTATTCATTCTCTTTTCTTCTTCTTATTATTATTTTATCCTTTTTTGTTTCAACATTGGTGCTTTTGTCTTTGACACCCTTCCTCATTCCTCATTCAATTCAATACCCTATTGTCCATTATATTACTAATCAGATTCCCACCCCCATTCCCATTGAAAGCCCATAACATAACATGTCTTATACCTCTTCCTTTCTCATTTCCCAACACATCCATACACAGAGTAGTATTGTTTTGTGCTCTTGTCTTTGTTAGTGTCTCCTCCAAAACCCAATTGAAGTATCAAGTACTTAACCTTTCTAAGTAGCAAACATATGATATACTCACTAATAAAAATTCTTTTATGTGACAGTCAACTCTTGCGTGCATGCATAAATTGGTTCTTATTAGTCTGATTTATCGAACTCATGCCCAAATGTATAACTCTAAGAATATCATGCTTATGAAAATCTCAAAAATAAATTCTCACATGCCAATGGACCCATGTGGCCGTTGGTGCCAAACTCATCATCTACAGAAAAGTATCTTCTAACCTATTTCTAGTTAATTCACTCTCTTCTCTTTCTAAACTTATTCAGCACCCAATGATTCTAGTCTTAGTTGGTGACACAGCTGGTCATGGTTGGTATTTTGAAACCAAACTGCTAATAAACATGCCAATTTAATTTATTATGTGCATGGCTATTATTATCAAATTGCCGAGAAAACCATTACATTTTTAGCAGATAAAAATGTCCCAATTAACAAATTAATAATGAAGACATTTTGGTGGTGACTAATACAAATCAGAACCATAGCTGCTGAAATGGAACATCAGTTGAAAGCTCCTTAAAGAATGCGATCTGCACTTTTCAACAACACTTGAACAAAGGGTGACCACACAAAAGCACACCAACATCAAAGCCTTAATATACAAAATTTTCTGCAGAATGGGTAATAAAAACTGGAACATAAAAGAATGTTTATTATCCTCAATAAAAATAGAAGCCTAATCTAGCTATCAGTAGACAAAGAGCTTGTTGGGAATGATATGTTTGGGAAGTAGCAGGTTTCTCAATGGAGATCAATCAACTAGAGGTATATATAAGTGCAAGTATGATTACCAAAGAAAAGAAACTCTGACATGTAGTGACTCATAAATATACATATTGTTGAAGTGTGAACCCATTTTGCTGAGCTTAAACTTAACAACAGCAGAAAGGTAGCTGCAGCGAAATGTTGAAGAAGACTTGTCGTCTGGTCGCCGTGATGAGCACTAAGGAGTAGCATTGAATGTGGAAAAAGTTCGACTGCCGCGGCGATGGAAATGGTCACCGCAATAAGCGTCCTGAATTCGAGAATTTTAGTTTTATTTGCTTTCTTGCTTTAACAAACCCAATTTCAATTTTGCAAAACGAACCCAATTTCAATTTTGCAAAGCCCTAGCCACCACCTATGCTTTGTTGAATGATAAATTGACAAATGAAAACTTCTTGTTAAGATTTTTGCTATGAGAGAGAAGTTGTAAATGTTGGTGGAGATTTAATTAAATACTAGAAAATCTTAAATCCCTGAAAGCGAAAATAATACAAACAAATGACATAAAATAACCACACATACAAACACAAGATTTATAATAGTTTACTCTCCATATGAGAGTTATGTCCACTTTGCCGCTATGAAATTTTACTATGAAGAAGAAGAAATATTATAAGAATCTCTCAAGCCTCACAAATTGGCTCACTCACCAAACCCTATCTGGTGGCTCTCACTCTCTAATTGTGGCTTTGTCTTCTATTCAATTTGTGATTTCTAACTCTAGGACTTAACCCTTTTTTATAGGTAAAACATGAGACACTATTCCTAATAGGACTCAAATCTCATATCCTAATAGAAATTTTATTTTAATTCCTAATACAGTTATAATCCTATTTTCAATTGTATTCCTAAAATAAAACAATTCTACTTAAACACAAATTAGAAAAACCCATGTCCTAATCCAACTCTAATTTGGATTGAATTTGGCTCCACAATCTCAACAATCTCCCTCTTGGAGACTAATTCAACATGTCTTCAATTCTTCACTTCCATCAACAGCAACATCAACTTTTCTTTCTTCAAGCGAGAAGTCCAATTGAAGTTGTACACAACTTTAGCTTCTCAATGGTAACCACATTTGTAAACATTTAGCTAGATTTTTACTCCCTTGGGTCTTCTAGAGAACTATGACTCCTTCTTCCAAAACTGAACGTATAAAATGGTAACGAACTTCTATTTGTTTTGTCTTAGCATGGTAGACTGGGTTCTTTGCAAAGTGAATTGCACTTTGGCTATCACAATACAAAGCGCTCTTCTCATAATTATGACCCAATTCTTCTAGGAACCATTGTAACCATATTAGCTCCTTACTAGCTTCTGTCATAGTAGCAACATATTGTGCCTTTGTAGTAGAAAGACCAACAATCTTTTGTAACTTTAAAACCCAACTGACTGCTGTACCACCTAATGTAAAGACATAACCTGTGGTACTCTTGCGATTATCAATGTCAGCAGTTATATCAGCATCCATATAACCTTGTAGCTCTATGTCTGACTTCCTAAAGCATAATGCTGAATCTATAATACCTTTCAAATATTTGAGAATCCACTTTACTGCTTCCCAATGTTGCTTTCCTAGATTGCTTATGTACCTACTCACAACTCCCACTACATGTGCTATGTCTAGTCTTGTACACACCATGGCATACATAAGACTACTAATTGCTGATGCATAGGGTACCTTGGCCATGTAGTCTCATTCATACTCTGTTGTAGGTGATTAATCTTTGGATAGTTTAAAGTGACTAGTCAGAGGAGTACTTACTAGGTTTGCTCCATCCATGTTGAACTTATTGAGTACTTTCTTCACATACCCTTCTTGTGACAGCTTTAAGAAACTTTTGGCTCTGTCTCTGGTAATCCTCATACCAAGGATTTGTTTTGCAGTTCCCAAATCCTTTATAGCAAACTCCTTTGACAATTGCCTTTTTAGCTTGTTTATTTTCTGTTTACAAGCCCTTGTAATCAACATGTCATCTACATATAGTAATAGGATGATATATGAGTAACCAAGTTTCTTGAAATAACAGCAATGGTCTGCTTGGCATCTAAGGAAACCATTACTACTCATAAACCCATCAAGCTTTAAAACCTTGTGGCTGCTGCATATAAATTTCTTCATTCAGTTCTCTTTACATCTAACCATTCAAGATGAAGGTTTTCTTTTGCC